GTGAAAAAAGAGTGACTTGAGCTACATTTTCATGTAATTTGAGACCAAATTATTGTGAAAGTTTATGAAAATACACATAAAAACAATGTCAATTGAAAAGATTCTATGAAAAAAACCTTTCGTCTTAGTGAATATTATATGGATCGATGATCGGAACCTCGGTCTTCCGGATGATGTTAACCGCAGGTCTATATCTTGTTTCTATCAAAAATTATTCGCTATAAAAGAGTGCCCGGTAACTTGTGGATCTTCGAGTAGATTTGAAAATTAATCTGACTTATAGTATTCCCTCATTCCACAGAAAAATGTTGATAATCGTAGAAGTTTCATTCATATGCAAATGTGAACAGATATTATTTTGATAAAAAATTGGGTGGATTTTTGTAGAATTTCAAAGGAGAAAGACATTTAAAACTACATTTTTTTCATTTCCTGGATTGTTAAAATCCATATATTTTTCGATACAAAATTTTATGCTAAGTCGTTGGAGAGTACTTTAAAATCGATTCGATGATTTATAGAGCAATGATGGTCAGAAATACCAATCTTTGTTTCATATCGTTCGAATTGATGTCGATATCGTCAAATATCGTAGTAATAATTGTGCAAAGTAATATTGTTGTTAGGTTAGTCTTATTGCATAGAGAACTCAATTCTGAATCAATTTCTATAAATCCAAGTGTATTGGAATATTTGATCAGTACATTCTATGTGTCATATCATTGACAGTCATTAGTGTGTTAGGTGAAAATCTGGTATTGTCCATTGACTTCTTGACAAATAGAAAGCGATGAAGCTATGTTAAAGTGAATTTTTATATACCAATAGGTAGAACGTTGAAAAAGCTACAAAAGTGTATGTTTTTCAAACTCCCAGAATACTGGCTACCTAAGAAATTTCCTGGAGACTAGTTCCTACATATGATTTTGTGAATTTTTGACTTATATTTGGCATATATTTGCACAAAAATTTATAATTAGAACCAATTCTAACACTAGATTTCGAATCAACAACAAACACTGAGTCGATAGATCTGCATTTCAAAGGTTTTCACGAACTTTTTCTTTTCTCAAAAAATTATTTGGGATCACGCTGAAGTTTCAGTGAAAAAAATTGTTTTCACCGTAGAACTTAAAATCCAAGCTAATGACGTGCTATTCAAATGTAAAATAGTAGATGGCTAAATACTTAGGGTATACCAAAAGTTCTGATCACAGTTTTTAAAATTTAATAAAGCAATAAATATTGAATATTTTACTAAGGCGATATATAGTATAACGTCTCGTCTTTAATAATATATAGAGCAACTCTCTCTTAGACTTAGTTCTAACATCCTTTCAGACTAAATTTATAATTTTACAGACCATGCAAATATTATTAATTCTTGTTCAATGGTCAGGTACATTCTGGAACTTTCTATTGGTCACTCTCTCGTCACGTTTTATGACGTCATGTTCTAGAATATTACATTTCGATAGTATATACAAATGAGAGGTCGTTCGCTGTTAGTTCATTTGTACCGTACTCGACTTAAAATCGTAATAGAATTTGATTTTAATCTTAAAAGAAGACATTAAACATGACTGATGAATTCAATCGATATTATATCAAAATTCGAGCTATTTTGGGAATAGATTCAAAAACAATCTTTGACGAACTTACAGAGGCATTGGGACCTGATGCTTCATCATATCCAACAGTCAGAAGATGGGCGAAACGTTTTCGTGAAGGAAGAGACGATGTCACTGATGATCCTCGATCTGGTCGTCCGATTTCGGTACTTACAGATGAAAATGTTGAACGCGTTCGACAAGTTATCGAAGATGATCCACACTCAACTTATGATGATATTATGGGTGAGACTGATCTATCACGTGGTACAATAGAACGAATTATTCATGATCGTCTAAAGATGAGAAAAGTTACATCACGTTGGGTTGCTCATCAACTTACTGACGAACAAAAACAAAAACGACTTAGAATTTGTCGTCAAAATTTAGAGAAATTTAGAAATGGAACATGGCATTTATGTGATGTTATTACTGGTGATGAGACATGGATTTATCACAGGCAGATTGGTCGAAAGTCAAGCAATGCTACTTGGGTTGGCGAAAATGAACTACCAAGAACCATTGTTCGTCGGAATAGATTTGAACCTAGAACACTATTTTGCTTCTTCTTCAAATCCACTGGTTCTCTTCTCATACACAAAGTAGATAAGGGCAAGACAATCGATCATGACTACTATATTCATAATTGTCTTATACCTGTTATCAATGAAATAAGAAAAAAGGAAAAGTCATTACGTACTACATATAAAATGCTTCATGATAATGGTCCTCCTCATACTCATCCAGATGTTATTGATTATTTAATGGAGGAAGGAATCGAAATCATTCCACATCCACCATATTCACCAGATCTCGCACCGTGTGACTTTTGGCTAAATGATTATATCAAGAACAAGTTGACGGATCACACAAACGAAGAATCATTAGCTCAAGAGGTTTCCACCATAGTGAAGAATATTCCAATAAACGAGTTTAAAAAGACTTTCGATAAACTGTTAGAAAGAATGAAACTTTGTATCGAAAATAATGGTGATTATTTTGAGCATTTAATAAAATAAAATAACGAATGTCTCTTCGTTTCTGTATTGTGGTTTTATGTTGGCATGATCTTTTCTTGGCTATAAATACTATAGATTTAGTCTGAAAGGATGTTAGAACTAAGTCTAAGAGAGAGTTGCTCTATATATTATTAAAGACGAGACGTTATACTATATATTGCCTTAGTAAAATATTCAATATTTATTGCTTTATTAAATTTTAAAAACTGTGATCAGAACTTTTGGTATACCCTAAGTAACAATCCAGGAAATGAAAAAAATGTAGTTTTACATGTCTCTCTCCTTTGAAATTCTACAAAAATCCACCCAATTTTTTATCAAAATAATATCTGTTCACATTTGCATATGAATGAAACTTCTACGATTATCAACATTTTTCTGTGGAATGAGGGAATACTATAAGTCAGATTAATTTTCAAATCTATAGAAAGCGACATGCTTGCATAATAGTAAAATATGTAATCTCAATCAACAATTTCTTTATTATACATATGATTGGACCTTTTATACATCATAACTGTTGAACTTAAATGTTTGATAATAACCAAATAGAGTTGATCATTCGTTTATATTTCATAATCAGATTAAAACTCTATTACTTCCACGACGACTTGATCAGTACTTGCTGAGATCATTATCAATATCCTTAGATTAGAACTATTACAAGCTAGCTGCCTAGTGTAGGTCATTTTGTGGGGTGTTAGTAGTTTCTATTAGACGTTCAATTTTAAATAGTTTAATGTAGCTTGAAAAGCTCTACAAAAGGAGGTAAAAATATTTGGTGGCTTGACAATTGAAACAACCAGAGAATTAGAACTAGAAAAAGAATTGATATTTTTACATCTCTACTTTTGATGAATTGTAATCTTCAGAACGATATAAATCACAACTTCAACAACAAATTTATTTCATAATTCGTAATATTTTCTAGAGTACTTCAGAACCTATCAAACAAAATTTGAACGAACTTGATCACTTTAACCATTTGGTGCGGGATTTTGTTTCCAATTAAGCATTTTTTATAAGTGGAAATAGATGTTTATGCAATCTAAAATCATCATCAAAAGTGTTTTAGGAGTGGATATCTCCGACGTCTTCAAAATACCTATAGTGTTCTTTATCAACACAGGAAAATTATTCTATTAGCTATTTTGACCCGATTTTGATCCAAGTAGTATATATACCACCTCGGCATCAAGAGGTTAACTATTTTTGAGGAATTTTCAAAATACTGACTGCAGTCGATTTGTCAATAAAATGACATGATGATGAAAAGAGTGCAAAAAGTCAGTTCGAAGTAAAAGTTTTTATGAAGATTTTTAATTGAAAAAAATTACATTTGTCGGTAAAAATGCATGCTCTTTGAAACTGTATAATTAAAATGAAAAACAAACTTGAGTCTCAGGTCGATATCTATAAAAATATTCGGTGTGCGCACGAAACCTATCTTAGATACTGTAGACTAAACACAAATAGTATAATGGTAGTTACCGTTAAATAATGCCAACAGACGACCGAAGTAGAAGAAGAATGAGTGAACACACTACTGACGAATATAAATGAATGTAATTAAATTGAATAAAAATGTGAGGAACACACGTTTATATTCTTTTTTTCCTTGCAGTGATCACTGATGCATAGTTCACCTTTATTTGACCTTAACGAAAAAATAATTATTAATAGTGATGGGCCGCGTATGTTACGCCAGAAATGAAAGAGAAAAAAAGAAAAAATCTTACGACTATTACGTGAGAATGACGTAATTTTTCTTTCCTTTCTGTACGAAATTACGAATAACATACAGTAAAACCTTACTAGTGGTCACCTCTCTATAGTAAAAACCTCGTTATTATGAACGTTTTTCGAGAATCCGAAAAATCGTTTTTTGCTAGAAATGGACCTCTCGAAAGTGGTCACCTCGTTATTATGAACACTTGTAAATGGGTCCCGATAGTGCCCATATTAGAGAGGTTTTACTGTATATCTTGCTGTTATTGTCTAAACGTTATTCCGTAATTTCGTACAGAAAGGAAAAAAATGACGTCTTTATTATGTCGTAGTTGTAAGAATTTTTCTTTTCTTTTCTTTCGTTTCTAACGCAACGTGTTTGGCTCATCACTAATTATTGAGATAGAAGAGAATTCACTTCTCTTGTTGCACACGTGGTGATCGGACGTTTTATTTTCGTTCTTCTTACTTTTGTTGCTGCCTTTTTCTTTTTCTCTACTACAAAGGAAGAGGCAAATCAAGGCCTCATTGTCCTTTGATCCTTCCTCTGTAAAGTGAGTTCGAAATGAGCTCACGAAAACATAAAAGAAATAATGCTATCAGTGAACATCGAAATGATAATATTGATAACAACGTAGTAATAGTTGAAGAAAATATTCAAAATAAAAATGATCTTCGTTAACAATCAGCTAAAACTGTAGGTGCAACAACAAGCATAAGAATACATAAAGGTCAACAAATTCTATTTCTTGAACATATTGGTCAAATTTTGGTTCCATTACAAGAAAATTATCAGTTGCAAAATAATATAAATAAACAAATTTATGATGGCGGTCAGTATGTAAACACGATGACTCATCGTACAGATAACAATAAATATGATATTGATGAGACTAGAGTTACTCCCAACAGTTACCACCACCTACAGAAAAGTTCATCTTCCACTCCGAAAGGATCTAATGATGAACTCAATAAGTCCCGAAAGCAATGCAAGAAAAGTAAAAAGGATGAAAATATCTAATATCAGCAGTCAAGATGGATTACACCAACCATGCATAATTCAACACAATATATGAATTTAAAAACAGTAGCATCAATTCATAAAAATTCTTCAACAACATCAAGATCAACCTCTGATAAAAATTATTCAATTCCAATGGATCAATTAAAAAGAACAGTTAGTAACAAGCTTCCATGTTTCATGGTTGAATTTGATAAAACTATTTCTGCTCGTGATCTCCTATCAGCAATCATAGGTTGTGATCTTATTCAAGAACATTTTA